GCCTCTCCTGGACGCTGAGGCTATGCTTCCAGATCTCGCTCGTCTCGGGATCTCGGTCCAATTTGTTAGACTTGGAATTTTGAGTGCGCCTAAACTCGTCTTCGAAAGATTGTCTTTAAAAAATAAAAAAAACCTCTAATTTTCATATTTAAGGATTAAAATTGTAATCATTATCCAAAAAAGAAATTAAAAACAACAATGAAAATGATGGCAAAAACCCGGGTATAATGACGTAGCATTTTACCCGGCATAAAACTTAAAAGTAGAATTGAACGACTGCTTGCTATCCGTTGTTCAGAAATTCCCCGTACCAATACCTTCCCCATCCCATATTATTATTAATGGTAGTGGTTTTATATAGCGCTAGGCTCACCGCGCTGTACATAAAAATATTAGCAAACATAATCGTTTTTTAAACAGCTGAATAACAACTAAACAAAAAATGTATATCCACCCCACCCACCCACCCCAGAACTTTTACATATTTGGACCGATGGTTATGTTATCGATGTGCTAGGGTTATTGTTATCGATGTGCTAGGGTTATTGTTATCGATGTGCTAGGGTTATTGTTATCGATGTGCTAGGGTTATTGTTATCGATGTGCTAGGGTTATTGTTATCGATGTGCTAGGGTTATTGTTAGCGATGTGCTAGGGTTATTGTTAGCGATGTGCTAGGGTTATTGTTATCGATGTGCTAGGGTTATTGTTATCGATGTGCTAGGGTTATTGTTATCGATGTGCTAGGGTTATTGTTATCGATGTGCTAGGGTTATTGTTAGCGATGTGCTAGGGTTATTGTTAGCGATGTGCTAGGGTTATTGTTATCGATGTGCTAGGGTTATTGTTATCGATGTGCTAGGGTTATTGTTATCGATGTGCTAGGGTTATTGTTATCGATGTGCTAGGGTTATTGTTAGCGATGTGCTAGGGTTATTGTTAGCGATGTGCTAGGGTTATTGTTATCGATGTGCTAGGGTTATTGTTATCGATGTGCTAGGGTTATTGTTATCGATGTGCTAGGGTTATTGTTATCGATGTGCTAGGGTTATTGTTAGCGATGTGCTAGGGTTATTGTTAGCGATGTGCTAGGGTTATTGTTTTGCAAAAGCCTTTATCTTTATTAAAACGTATTTCCCCATGCCATGCTCACCACCCCAAACCATTTTCCTGGACCCCAGATATCGGAGCCGTGTCAACTCAGATGCGACCTTACAGGTCAGCCCTACAGGTCAGCCCGAGGAAAACTGATTCGACCTAACGAGAGGGTCAGGTGTGTCAATAACAACAACAAAAAATACGACGAAACAAGATGGAAACGCTGGTAGAAACAAAGTATTTAATACAAAAGGGATGGGGAGGAAAACAAGAACCAACAAGCCTATACTATACAAGTTATATCAAATTATTTTTCCAGTCTACACAAAGCCACGAGCATTTAAAATGAAAAAAGATAATACATCACAATTGAAATACACTCTCCAAAAATATTATATGTAGTAGTGTAGATGCCCATCACTGATATTATTTATTTAGCATGGGCAGCACTAATGTATCGTATTATTTGCACACTTAGCTTATTTAAAGTTTTGTAATGGACATATGTTTATACCCCAAAGAATATGAGTCAAACTGACCTAGAACAGTTGAGTCAACTAGAGTCAGTAAACAGTCCAGAAGTTTCCCAGAACCAACAAGAAATCTGTTAAGTTACGACTCCTGGTAATCTCAAGGTTTAGAGGCTTGACGCCAAAGTTAGCTGCCAACAGTGATATTTTGTCCTAAGGTCCACATGATTAACTGACAGGATAATAATTGTTCAAACAATCATCAGCGCTTTCAGCTGATTTCTTCAAAACGAGACCAGGTGGGGCGAGAAGAGCCTGCTTGGATTGTATTTATTATTCAGTCAAATCATGGGAATCAGAGGCGGTCTACTCTTTCCTACATAGCACAAACTAATAACAATTACCACCAACCAAATATTATTTTTGGTTTTGTCTTGTTTATCTTATGTATGTGGATTTGCAACTGAAAATGAGCTTACAGGCTTGTGTGATCATTTAATGGCATAGTAGTGTTCAAATTCAATGATAATGAATAAACATATTTGTAATGAAAGAAGATTTTACAGTTCTTCTTCTATATCTTAAGGGACCACGATCAATTTATTGATCATTTTGGCTCCTATGCATGTAGATGGGATTTGCAATGTTTCTGTTCCTGGTATTGATGAGGAAATTTCACTGATTTCCAGTGCCGCTTTGTGAGGGAATCATGCACTAGGGGTTTGAAGGCTTGAGGCAATAGACACAAATGTGTCTAGTGTTGTCACCTCAACTCTTCCTTTTGACAGCTTGTTCCAGTCCCTGATTGTCTTGGGCAGTTAAAGCCTCACACTCACAATAAATGAACAAATTATTTCGACGTTAAAGGAGCTTTTTAAAAAAGTAACCAAATAAAGAAATCTTTGTTTTTTATATTAAACTAATAAATGGTGGCCTCCCACACAATTGCAGCAGGTTCAAGTTCATAATTTATACCATTTAATTATGTCCTCATGCATCTTTCTTCCACCTGGAAAATTAACTTGGTTTAGAAAATTGGTAAGTCCTACATAACAAGACCTTAAAGCTAGGTCAGGTGAAACTTATACTTATAGCCACTCTAAACTGAAAATTATCATCTATGATAAGTTGAATGTTGACAACGATGAAGCCCTAATATTTAATATTATTAAAAGAATTTAACTAACTGATGTGATGCATTATCCAATAAATAATGGAGACAGAAAGTATTAAACAAATGGGGAAGGTTGGAGGTGGGATTCAGTTTGTTTTCTCTACAAAGCTAAGACTAAGAGCTCATTAAAATCTTACCTAAGAATTTAAACTCAGGTTTCATCAAAATACTTGTCATGAAAATCCTGATAGTATGATATAAAAGTATCCAGGATCTTAATTATTTTTTTTAAGGAAAGCGCCATTCCTTTGCATTCTCAGAATGCAGTTTTTTAACTATGGTACATAAAGTAAGATAAAAAGAAATGTTGAGCTACAAGTCATACTATGACTATCCCATAGAGAATAATTCTAATAGGCCTTCTAACAGGTCAAATCCGCATTATCAATGTTTGGTGTGAAACATCCTAAAGTCTAAAGTGGCTAACTGTATTATTTCACATCATAACTTTACTTAAGACTTAAGGTTAGTAAAGTTAGGCTTTTGAAACGATAATAGCCTATTAAAAATAGCCGAACCCCCTGAGTCTTGGCATTGAATAATAATAATAAAGCTGAATTTTACTTATTTAATTGGCAAATCATTATATTAAGTATTAAGTTATTTCATGTCTGAAAACAAAGAAGAAGAATATACTATGACTATACAATTTGAAAAATATCAATTTTAAACAGGGTTTCTCTTCTAAAAAGTAAGGATAATTCTAATGTCTAATGAAATAATAAATGATCATTTTCAGATAAGTTTGGGTCTACTAAGAATAAGAAATTTGGTCTATACCAGAAATTCATTTGGAAGAGTTAGTTTAGGCCTAGACCCTAGGCTAGACTGTTGATGTTTATTTTTACAAGTTAAGACTATCAGACTATCATCAACTTAATTAACAAATAACTAAGTATTAGTAAGTCTACTAAGACTACTACTACTTGCAACTACTACACTAAGAATAAGGCAAGGCACACTAAGGAGTAAGGAGGTAAGGCCAAGACTTAAGTAGCCTACACTACACAGACGACACAGGACTCACAGTCACAGGTGCTTACACTTACTCAACTCTTAGTCTTAGCCTTAAGAATAAGAACGTGTAAGTCTTAACACAACCTAAGAAGTAGGCTAGTTTTATATTATATAATTAATTTCAGTAGGCTCTATGACTTATTTTCATGGCAACAGATAGGCTTTATAGTATATGGCATAGTGAATTTTAAGTCCTACCTATTCTTTCTATGGTAAATCCAGCAGGCGCCTTGAGCACTCTTCTACCCCATGCCGATCGAAGATTTTCCAGATGAATATCTCCGCCAGTTACAAGTATTGTGGAAGGCTCCACAAAACCTTTGTATTCCAAACTTTTGATACTTTCTACTAAAGAAGGATTCCAATAGCACGTTTTATTCCTAATTTTGAAATCATTTAGCAGCTCTTTACCATTATATCCACTAGGTGAAAGAGCTTTTTGAACTTGGGAAGACTGAATAACATTTCCATCGGAAGAGTCAATATGAGTTTCGTCGTTGTCTATATTATTTCCAGAATTACTTCTTGTTTTAGGAATTAAAACAACTGCAAGACACTTTGACACAACGGGTAGATTTTTACTTGAGGAATTTATTTTACCTTCCTCTCGTATATGTTTGTGGGACATGCTTTGTTTTGGTTGCAGTCCCGCGTCATGAATTCAAACCAGTTCACATTTTTAAACAGCTCGCAAGCACTCGACGCGAACCGCGGCTGACAAAATTCATCACCTGCCTCGACGTTCATTGATCAAGCTCACATCTCCCGCTAGCGATTTGTAGCGCCCCCTTAGCTCAGGTACCCTTGTGTACAGGGGAGGGCAGAGATGTAGCTAGCGTAATTATTACTTTTATTTTAAAAAATGATATTTATTAACGAGAGACACGGCCCAAGATACTGGAATATAATTTAATTAGATTTTAATAAAAATTGACAAAAAGTGCAAAATATAGTCAATTAAGTATATGTGAATATGTGAAGATAATAATTCTGCGAACTGATAAAATGAAAAGTATACATTATAATAGGCCTCACCACACACATTGTACTAATATAAGGATACTTTTTTTTAATTGTAATTATCATACTAAAAGATGAATCGTATATCATGTTTATATTGAACACAGAAAAAAATATTAGATCAAAGTTAGGGTTTTAAATTAAAAATATTTCATTACTGATGATTTTTTAATTCTTTTTTTTTAAATATGTTAATAGATATGTTAAGTAAAACGGCGAATAGATTTTTTTTTAAAATTGAAACTTAAAAACATAAACGTTAACTTTGAACGAAGAAACCTTTAAATTTAAATATTTTGTTGTTTTTATGAGGCCCTTTAGTTTTTGTTGTGTTACCCTTTGCCCTTTACATTTGTAAAAGTCAGATTGCCTATCTACTTAACTTATAAGTAAGTTTTCATTTTAGCCATCGTCGTAATTGGACTAGAAATGTATTTTTCACTATATTTGCTTGCTACTTGCTGGGCTATGATTTGGGGGTGGGCCTAGCTAGGCTCAGCTAGGCCTAACACTAACGCCTAACAATTTCAGTAGTCTTTAGTACAGTAGTACAGTATAGTATTTAGTATAGATAATAGTTTATTTTAATTATTTAGATTTATTTAGATATTTTTAATATTATGATTAGCTAAATAAATATAATAATAGTATAGTATGTAGTATTAGTAGGCCTACTATTATTATTAGTTAGCCTATATTAATATTATTAAAGTATAGTATAGTGATTTATAATAAGCCTAAGTTCTAAGCCTATACTTCTACAGCATACTTGTAGGGCATAGTCCTAAATTATAAATAATAGTTCCTATAATGTATAATATAAATTATAAATCATAAATAATATGACTAATAGTAGTAATAGTAATATTAATAGTAATATATAGTAATAGTTAGTCTAGCAATAAATTTTAATATGAGTACTTTATTTTCTGGCATAAAGACAACTTTTTAACCCATGAAGAAAATCTTTTCAAAAGTCAGGGTCGTCTTATAATCTGGTACAGCATGCTGAAACTTCAGGGAAAGGCGCCCTCTTGTTCCAGTTTGGTTTACAGCTTAAAAACAAACAGCATGGGCATGACAGCTCTCATACATGGGTTTATTGTCTTTAGTCTTATCCTTCCTTTCAGCTTTAGAGTGGATGAGAACAGTTTAATCATAATCCACTTGAATTGTTTCATATTTACATGTTTCATGACAAACAGCCTTATGTTTATGAGTGACAGTTATCCTGCTAATTACCTGCATGTCATAAGCCATAAGCATTTGATAATTCTCAGTGAATTCTCAAGGTGCTTATCAGATATGTTGGATCTAGTTTTATTGTTAGTGTTCTTCATCTTTGAAAATAGCTTCTCACAAATGTAGATGCTACCAAATAGTGATGAAATTTTCTTTGTGCACTTCGCAGCCATATTTAATCCTAATTTTACAAATCTATTTCTTTCACCTAACATGGCCATCTATACTAGATATGTTCACAATGGATACAGAAAATCCCTTTAACATATTTCTCACAACTTTGAATGAACCTCTTGATTTAATTGTGTATTTTAATGTCTCTAAAAAGCTGTGTGATGTAAATAAATTGTGAAACAAGATATGTTTAGGATTTTAATTGTTCTGTCTTTTTTTGTTAAAAGCTAAACATACCTTTTTGCACTATTTATTTAATGTCACTAAAAAAAGACACTTTTTCAGTAATATTAAATTTTTCATATGTATTCACAATCTCCTAAAGGATTGATTTGATTATAGGCTTAATTAAGGCATTTGTCTTTGGAAAACTTTGTCTTACAGTACTTAGATAGGCCTACAAACTTAGGTAGGCCTACACACGTTGCACTACATTGTCTACATGCACATGCCATTGAGTGGAAAATAATATAAGATGGGATACATTTTTTAAAAAAAAATTTTTAAGTTTAAAATCATGTAGTTCAGAACAGGAAGCCAAAATTGTTAAATTTAGATTTATCTTTTGTTTATTGTAATGCACTTGCTGCTGAAGAAGGCATCTAGCCGAAACATCTGCTTAAATGCCTTGTCTTTTATTTTCAAGCATAAACATTTCTTGTTCCACTATTTATTTAATTTGAAGTGATTAAAAAAATATAATATATTTATGCTTTTAGTTTTTACCAATGCACGTAGCTAAAAATAAAAATAATTCTCTTTTATTTTATTTTTAAAACAGAATGTTAAATTAACTTCAATAATGAGATGAAAAATGGTCCATGAAATTGAAGATTTCTACGGTGTGTACCTATTATATTGCTTGAATCCCAAGTATAAAGGAAGAACCTATATTGGATATACAGTAAACCCCAACCGACGCATTAAGCAGCACAATACAGGTGCACATGGAGGGGGTGCATACAGAACAAGTGGAAAAGGACCATGGTGAGTGCCCTTTCTTTGATTATTTTTTGTTTTTAAAAAAATAAACAATTCCACTGAAAGCCATTACATTTTGGTAGGGCTTAAATGGGTGCAGTTTTTTTACACTGGATCTGGGTATTTGGAGAAAATACCCATTGGGTCCAAGTGTTACAAAAAAAGAGTTAACTTATCACTTTCTATAATATGCAAAAAAATCTAGTGCCCTATATCGTAGTGAGAGCCTTTGTTAACTGATTGTGTCAAGAAATAACCCACTGATGGAAACAGGCATTCTCTGGGTCTCAGAATAGAGATGACGTTGTACCAAAACCAGTGGACAGAGGAGATACTGTCATTCATTTTATAACAAAGTATTACAAAACAACACTTGCAATAGCAATAGCAGAGGAACACGAACAATAACAACACCGGATAATAGTCACCTCTCCCAAAAAAAAAATCAACCTATTTACGGCATTTCAGATGTCATGCATGAAGCTTGCTGCTTGAGAGCCTTTTTTTTTTCACTCAGCATTATTAAACTATTAATATAAAACATGTGCAGTTGGGGTAGTTTTGAATAGGAAGCAAGAGGCACCAGAAGTGAAATATATATAAAAAGATACAGCTCAAATTCAAGTTTTAATTATTTATTTTTTCAAATTCCTAAGCAATTACTATGCTTCATAATTTTTTAACTTGCACAATTTTTCACAGGGATATGGTTTTGATTATCCATGGATTTCCAAATGATGTATCAGGTTTAAGGGTAAGTATTTGACAAAATGAGCTAATGATATGAGACATTGAAAGTAACTAGCATTTAGATACAAAAATCACAATTAATGACACTGTTAACAGCTAGATATTGTTCTTAAAATTTTAGTTTGAGTGGGCATGGCAGAATCCTAACAAATCAAGACGTCTCCGCGCCGTTCCAGGAAAGACCTCGAAAGAATCATTATTCCACTATAGATGGCGGGTCGTTTGCAATATGCTGCGAATCGCTCCATGGAGTGGTTTATCTTTAACAATACGATGGCTGAAACAAAATTATCAACTAAATTTTCCTACTGGTTTGTAAATATAAAAAATTGATAAACTAATATTCTATATTTGGCATGAGTACATAAATTGTTGAATACCAAGTAGAAAATTGAAGATGTAGTGAGAGGTCAGTTTAAAGACAAATGTTTTTTTTTTAATGTCTACATAAGCGTTTAATATTATCAAATATTAAATTTAGATCAATACATTTGTCTTTTCATTTCAAGGGTTAGAGCCACCTCTTCACATCCCAGTTGTGTTTGGACCTGTTGTTAGCAAACAGATAGGAAAACAAAAAAAATCCAAAAGTCAATCATCCCAACTGCCTCCATCTTGCCAACCAGCTGATGACAAAGATTTGCCTTTTAGCAATAATACTTTTTGTGCTGTGTGCTGTATCAGAATTCAGGTACGCTAATAGAGATTAAATTATAGTTCATCATTTTTTTCCCCTTTTAACATTTTTCGACTAATATACTTTGATTTTGTCATTGCGTATACGCTTACCCAGCACTAATCAACCTTCCAAAAATAAATTGACAGAAGGATGACAAAACTCTGAATTGTTTACATCCAAGCTGTGCAATGGTAGCCCACATAATCTGTTTGGCGAAACATTTCCTAGATGATCCTGCCAAGCTGCTACCAATAGAAGGAAAATGTCCCAGCTGTCAAGTGAACTTACTGTGGGGGGAGTTGGTACGTCATAAAAAGGGATGCCACCAAAACTTATCAGAGTCTGAATTTCAGGTACCAGTGCAACTTGCCTTGTCTTAAATTGCAATTTTGTCAGTAAACACTTCTTCTAAATGAATTTTTATGTAAATAATTAGGCTTTATATACTAATTGAAAAATATGAACAAATATTTCTGTTATGCAGATTCAACTTTTAATTAATAGGAAAAAGAGTAAAAACTTGATAAAAATTTTCATCTCACAAACCAGTGGATGAAATATTTTAGTTTATTAATTTTGTATTTGAATTACTTAAACTTAAGTTAAGTTCACTATTGCAGAAATGCTATTTCTTAGCTTAAATCCATTTCTTTTACAATATGTAGGGAGTAGTTGAAGGAGAAAGTGATAATTTATCAACAATATCAGAAAGTGAGGACAGCCAAAGCTGACATTGACTACAGAAGTGCGAAAAAGCAACTATTGAGAAATGGGTAAGTCATTGCTAGTCTTAATCATCTGCATAATATCTTTTCATTTGCGCATTTGGGGATAATTTTCATGAAAAAAATTCAACAAAAAATCAATAGACATACATCAATAGCTTTGGTTCTCAATTGGGATGTCCGATTATGTGCTAAAATGATCAGATCTCCATGTGTTCTGTGGTCTTCCGCTCTTTCTAATATTCTGTGATTTCCAACATAAGACTGTCTGGGTAAAGTTGATAGTCTCCCAAAAAAGTGCAATATTTTAAGTGTTATGTATTATGCTCATATAAATAACACAATATAAAATAATTGCATAGCAGGAATTAAATGGGCAAAAGTAAAAAAAAAAATATGCTGGGTTTAAATTGTTCATTTTTTTTGTTGGTGTAGTATATAAATTAAAGATGCGCCAAAAATTATATGCTATGCAGAAAAATACCATTCTTTTCTGTTGAAGAGTTTGCCATTGATTTTAAACTTTAATTCTGCGACATATCAGTGGTTTCGGATATATTTTCCGGACATTACTTGTGCCATAGTAATGAGTGAAAATGAAAACATGAACACATGGTTTTTTAATCTTGTTGTAGCCGGGAATTCAAATCCTGGTCATGTATGTGCTGTACAATAAGTTTGATTTTTGGTTCGAGAGTTGCTGAAATGTAAGCTTTTGAAACATTGGCTCTCGAGTCTGCTTAAGTTTAATCATAATTATTTTGTTCTTTCTTCAGAGTAAGATCTCCATTGTAATCTTAAATTCCTACAATCTCATTGGGGGAATTTAGGGTGTCCTGTGCAAAGATGCTGATAAGTGGTTAGTTATTAGGATTAATTAGCACACAAATATTTGCTCCATTGGAAATGTCACAGTTTTATATTTGATTACTAGATTATCAATAAAAATTTCTGTAAGCCAGATTTTATGTATAGCTACATTGACATTATTGAGATTTTCAAAGACATACATGTTTATTTCTATTTCTAATTTAAAGTATCTGTTGTTTCTTCTTTTGTTTTGTCTTTTGAAGAAAGCATCGGGCTGAAACTTCAATTTTTCTTGTCTGGTCTTTTCTTTTCATAAAAATATCTCATTCCACTATTTATTTAATATGGATCAGAATGAATCATCTTTTCTTTTTTTTTTTTTTGTAACCTTAAATATTGTTAGTTTGCTAGACTTGCTCATTTTAATTTTTTTACGTCTTTAAACTATGACTTAAAATTTAAGGCTTAATACTTCAATTTTTCTTGTCTGGTCTTTTCTTTTCATAAAAATATCTCATTCCACTATTTATTTAATATGGATCAGAATGAATCATCTTTTCTTTTTTTTTTTTTTTTTAACCTTAAATATTGTTAGTTTGCTAGACTTGCTCATTTGAATATTTGTACGTCTTTAAACTATGACTGAAAATTTAAGGCTTAAGCATACACTTATACATTGGAACCTCTCATTACGAGTTTAATTTGTTCCAGACTCTTACTCGTTAAGCGAAACACACGTTAAACGAAACAATTTTTCCCATACAAATCAATGTAAAATACGATAATGCTTTCCATGCTGAAAAAATACTAAGTTTTCAAAAAATATTAACATTTATTCAAATAAAATTACTTATGAATTGTTAAGGAGTGTAACAACTTGGAATACAATTTAGATTTGAAACAAAAAACTTAAATAAAAATATGAATTTATGACAAATAATTAATCCTTTTTAACTAGAACATTTGTTTTTGCCGACGCTTCAAAATTTGAAGAAAATGTGTCACAGCATTATCATTGAATAAATTTGTAGCACGAATAGCCACGCTCACACCTTGTTCTCGCTTTTCAAAGATTTTACGTTTCATTTCAACATTTATTTTTTCTCCTTTATGATTGTCTTCTTGTGGTTTTTTTTCGAAGACATTTTAGCATAGGTTATTACACTTTGCACATAAAAAAATTATGAATACTGTCTCAATACAAAATTTGTAAAAACTGGTGATCACACACAAAAACAATACGCTAACAGACAGAGTGCTAAACACAGACTAAGGCAATAGTTCTCAACCTTCCTAGTGCCGCAACCCTTTAATACAGTTTCTCGTGTCTTGGCGACCCCCAGCAACCTACTTATTTTCATTGCTACTTCATAGCTAAACGAATATGTGTTTTAGATAGTCTAAGGCGACCCCTGGGAAAGGGCCGCGATATCCCCAAAGGGGTGACGACCCACAGATTGAGAACCGCTGGACTAATGCATCAGCGCGGAAGCCCCGGCTCACAAATGAATGTCAGGAAAAGGGGACTTCCCCTTTCTGCGTAACTCCTTATGCAAAATATCGCTAGTTAAAGGAGCAACTTCTTCACATTTTTTTTTGCTCGTTATGTGAATAACTCGTTATGAGAGGTGCTCGTTATGAGAGGTTCCACTGTTTGATTTTAATATATTGATAGCTAAATTTTAAATATAAATTTTTATCAGATTGTTTAAGATTGAGATAAAATAGTGTTTAATTTTTTATGCAATTCAATTGATACATTTTGTTCACTTTCTTTTTCGAGTTTGCTGAACTTGGATTTATCTGGCTTAGAGAGAATTATTTTTGCAGAAAGTGGATGCTGATTTTAGCATTTTTATTTTTTTTAAAAATGATACATAATTCTTACCTCTATTAATTGAAACCAATGTGAATTTATTTTACCACTCTGTCTTTTGCATATCTTTTATTTCTCTGCCTATCTACAGACACAAATGTTGACAAATTTTTAAGGAAGATTACAGCTGAATCCATTTTGGCGTGCACAAGACTCCTATGTCAAACATGAATGATTATCACTGTAGATTTTTAATGAACTTTAAACTATATTAATTGTAATTGTAAAGATTTTTTAATTGCATTGAATATAAAATAATTTTTAAGTCAAGTTTGCATTATGATTGAATATTGTAATCACAAAATCAAAGCTCTGAATATTAAAAATATACAATGTTACTTGTTGTTAATTTTTAAATTGTACAAAATTATATTTAAAATACTGTTCCAATGTTAACATTGTACTGAATTAGTCATGTCATGATTTCATAACCATTGTTTATTGTAAAATATAAGTGAGATATTTATAATAAGTTACTGTCATAATTTACAATTATGGCATTCCAAAATATTTTGTTACAAGCATTTCATTGATGAAAAGCAAGTTAAAGGCAAGAGAGAATACAAAATTTAAGGATTATAAACAGCAAAACTACCACTAACAATATTGTTTGTTTTATTAAAAAATACATCTTATAACAATAAAGAAGCACCTATTTAAAATTAAGAATCATATAAGCCATTATATAAAAAAATTATCACATAGAGGTGACCATTTTACTAAAAAGCTCTCAATAATGCTCTCTTATCATAGCACTGTTATCAGATAGTCTCAGCTCAGTGTACTAGGCAAGAAAAGGTTAATTACTAATTAATTGGTGAGTTGAACCTGTGACCTTTCGGTGGCCAAACTATACAAGTTAACACCACTAAGTCTATTCCTAAAAACGCTTGGCAACAGTTACTACCAGTACTACCAGTTACAATTATTATCAGCTGGAAAATTGCAATCTCTCTTTTCAGATACTTAAGAATTAATTAAGCCAATTAATAATGACAAAGCTACAGAAAAGCCTAATGATTCTTACAACAGGTGAAATTACTTTAAATTATTTAAATACAAATAAAAATGTTAACTCATAAGCTACACTATGTTTTTATAATTAATGGTTCATAACTTTGATCGAAGCATGACTCTTCAAGACTTGGGTTTGAAGGTAAACACTGATGCTGAGTTAACAAGTTATTCCTAAAGCTGCCCTCAAATACAACAAAAACACTTGATAACATTTCCTGCATTATTTATTATGTATTAGGATTCTAATTAAGCTAGTACAATGAAAGCCATAGGGGAATCATCGCCAGTGACCAAAGGTTTCCTCATAGCCGTCTTACCCCAGTATTTTTAACCTCGTTATCAAGATGTTGAAACTGGTTTCTACTTTACTAATTTGATATATGAAAAAGTGGGGATGAAATTAGTATTAAATTATTATGGATAGGCAGGGATCAAGTTCCTTTGAGAAAAAGTGTGGGAACTCTCCCAAGATTCTCTCAAAAACACCACCATCACCCCCCCACCCCCCACTACGAAACAAATATGTATTTATTACTTAGCAATTAAAGGGTAATATTTATTATAAAGTGCAGTTTAAAAAAGTACATTAACTGTATCCCTGGGTATAGGTATATTTTCTGCCACAAACGTTCTTGTTAATATCCTTTAAAATTGACCTGCCTTTTATTTTAAGAAATTTTTCAAAGAAAAATATTTCTATTCCATTATTTTTATTATATTTTATAAATTTTAAATAGTTTACACCCAAAGTAATACTGAAGCCCCAAGCTCTCATATTTATCAATTTGTTCCTCTATAACATGGCTTGTGAACAGAACACATCTAAACTCTGTGTGGTTGATGTGTTTTTGTCTGTTAAAAAACAGATACGACCTGTCCAATAATGTCATCTTTGTTGGTGTGATGCAAAATTCAATATAAACTTAACATAAATACAAATTTACACAAAAATAGAAGAAGCATAAATGGCTATAAATATGTATGCTTTATGAATTATAACGAAGTTTAATGTATGAGCATAGACATTCTTAAATCATTTATGAAAAAAACTTTTAATGGATCACAGGATTATAAAACAATATTGAACATATATAATTTTATTTTTCCACTATTAATAATTAATATGCAATGAATGTTTGAGAATTGTTACATTGTGTTAATGTTTTGATCACTTGACTTTAACACAGTATTACAACCAAGTTCTTGGTGAAGACCTTTATGCTCATCTCTTTAAACACGATGTTTACATTGGTTTTGTTTTAATGCATTTTTGACAAGTTTTTCTGTTTCACTGCCCGGATAAAATTTGTATCTGCCCATGTACAGCAAAAAGTATGTAAAATACATGTCAAAAGGTATTTTACTAACAGCCTGTGAAATGAATTAATAAAATGCTGAGTTTGATAAGAACACATCCAGCAACACATTTTTATTTCTAATGATATATTAGTATTCCAATGTAAGAGCGTACATTGATCAACTTATTTATTAATTATTTACATTGGCACTCCAGTAAACAGAGATACAAAATTTCAAGGTAAAATTATTTTTTTTATTCACAAGAATCAAAAAGGGATTTAGTTGAAATGAATGATCTTATGCTGAATTGGGCAAGGTGAAAGCTTTGAAGGATTTTGGTGTTGTAGGTGTTTTGGGGCTTCTGTTCTTTCTAGACTCTGGTTGAATCACAGGAAACCTGAAATATTAGAAACAAAGTTGTTTAAGACATTTTGTTAAAATTTCAAAGAGATAATTCTGACTGATTTACTGCAGCAGTTTATTATTTGAAAATTAACTTAATTCACATCTATTATATGAAATAATGCTTCAGTGCAGCCTTAAAGCTGCTCCATTATGACATTTTTTAAAAACTGCAGCTAAATCTGCACAATTTGTTATAGACGAATAGCTAAACTATCAGTATATAACTGTATAAATTCAGTTAAAATATGCAACAACCTATTTTCTGTGCACACAGTTTCAATCATGTTATCAACACCTTAAATAGATTTATATTCAAAAACCAAAATAATCCAAAAATAAATCTATTTAGGTTAAATTTTTGTTTACTCTGTCATCTGCAGTCTCTTTGCTGTTTCTCTTTGTTTTAAGATATTTGAAATAATTAATAACAATTCTCATCGAAGCATTTTGAATTATATCATTGGTATCAATTTACATCCAATGTGGTAGGTCAAAGTTTCAAAACCATATCCACGGTAAACACAAGGGACAGAAATTTTAATCAAATGGATATGATTTTCTATTATTTGTGAAGATATTGATGCCATACCTGGCTGCAAATAGCTTGTCAGTTAAGTAGACGGGCAGGTTGCTGATAATGAAAGCTCTCAGTCTGTATCTCCAGTATGGCACATAACAATAATTGGGATTTTCTGTACACACAGCCTCTATCATGTTATCAACAACCTAAATTGATCAATATTCAAATATACTTCATGAATAAATGCACATTCATTCATTCGTTCTATCCTTTTACATGATTGTAACTACAGAAAAGTATGACAAATTTATTCAAAGTCTTCTCTCTGTGTGCTAGGATTTCTTTGTCATAATTGTTTCTCAACTAATACCGCCAATAATATTGTGATTAACTATGTGAATATTTAAAAAAGCTACTTGGTGTGATCTCAGAGAAAATAGTGAGGTCTCCAACCAGAAACAAACCTCTTAGAAAAAGAAAGCATTTTTCAAGGGCAAGGTAGTCCATTTCATACAAATTTCACTGTTAAATTAAGTTGTATATACCTGGAGTAACTGAATTTTATACAACTCAATGCATAGATAATCAAGGATGTATCAAACTTGGAAGATTACTAGATAGCATAGGACTGTGTGTACCATAAAAGGATTAGGAAAATTTTGGACTCGGAGTCAGAGATGTTGAAAACAATAAATTATCAGAGTCAGAGATGTTGAAAACAATAAATTATCAAATAACTTAACACTTCTCATCTCATAGTCTTAAGTGTAATAAATGTTTTAAAAGTGAATAAATTTATTTTATTTTCTCAAAAGTCAAGGTGAGGTCAATTTAGCTTCTTATTTCTTTGACATTAGAAAATGGCAAAAGCATCTACATACTTCCATGACATTAGGTCTTGCTTGCCTCAGACTCAAGGTCACCTGCTTTAGGAAAGCATCGAAATACTCCTCCCCATAATCAGCTCGGACATCTGTTGGGGTTTCAGCCCACGATTTTCTGTTTTGGTCAATTAAATAATTCTCCAAAGTGATGGGGGTTCTAAAGAAAAGAATTAAACTTTTATTTCACTAGTCTTCATGATGGTGTTTTGTTTATTTATTTATGAAAAAATTAATTATACCTTTTATTTGTTTTCTTTCATAAATATGTTTAATGCAACTATTTTTCCTGCAACTTAGAATTTAAAAGAATGTTTCAATAAAAAAAAAGTGATAATATACAAGAAGATGTAGGCTCTGACACATTTTTTTTCTTCTTTGAAACAATATTTTTACTCAGAAAACAAGCTCTGAAGAGGTAATTTAGTGCTATATTCAAGTCGTTAAATAACTATTATGAATATCTCACTTACTAAAACTTACTTATAAAGACCAGGTTCAATGGTAATAACTTTTATGTTAAACTTGTTCATCTCCTGTCTCAGAGCATCTGAGAAAGCAATGCAGGCTTTCTTGGACATGGAGTAAGCAGCAAATGCAGGCAGAGTAAACCGACCTGAACAAAGATTAAATCATGAGAAAAGTGAACAAATGTAAGAACATATATTGGAAACATTTTGTGGATTAACTAGGACCCCATTGCATTTCATTTGAGAATGCTGATGGTCCAAAGCAGGAGCAGTGAGCACTGGTTAAAAATTCTAGAGGCACAAATAAAGAAATAAAAAAAAAAACAGCAAAGAAGATTAATGAAAATTATTTTCATAAAATATAATAAGTAAATATTGGTCATGCCTCCTGACCAGTTACCGGAAATTTAAACAGATAAATTTGTTCAAAGGAAAATTAATAGAATTTTGTTCGAACAGAATTTGTTCTATTGAAAATTTGGCAAACAAAACTGCACTCAAATTCTGTAGAAAAAAAATCTCTTCCATACAAAATGTCCATATACGTTGCTTATTTTGCCCTTTAAATTTTAAATCCTTTAGAGATGAGGTAAGAAGGGTCAAATTTCTTTTCTATCCCCACTTCTAAGAAAAAGCTGGATGGTTTTCTCCACCTGTTTGTTTTTGCCTCCACTCTACCTCTTGTTGGATTAATATCCTATAATCATCTTATTATTCATGATTTATTAACAATAAGAAATCTTTCTGTTGCTGCCCCAATACTTACAAGAAAAATAGGTTTAGAAATACTAGCCGTACCTAAGAGTTTCTAGAATAAGTAATAAGTATATAATGCTTCTTCATTCATATTCATACAATACATTGTCTTCTGGCTGCCAACGATTGAATTTTTTTTTTAAATCTGCAGATAAAAAAAAAATCTAACCTGCTAAACTTGCCACGTTTATTACTCTTCCTTCTGACTGTCTGAGAAGGGGCAGGAATCCTTTGGTGACACGAACTATTCCAAACACATTGACATCCATAATTTTTTGGAACTCTTGTACGGAGCACCATTCTATTTCACAGAACACTGCAACTCCAGCGTTGTTCACCAGGGCCCATAACTCTGAAAAAGTACTTGTAATAAAAATATTGCCGCCCCTCTTAAGCTTTGATTTGTTTATTTACAAGCTAGAGGATCATTTGGAGCCTACAGGTGGTCGAGATTATATTTTAACAAATAATGAACCTCAAAAGTATTTTCATTTTTATTAAAGTATTATTGCGGAAACTAAGCGTATATAACTGAAAATGAAAAGAACAAACCATTTTCTCCAATGTTGTCTTTAACATATTTCACGGCTTGCTCTACTTGGAAGTCGTCAGTTACATCGATGGGGACAATGCGAAGTCGATCCGA